GCAATCCACTCACCTCAGCCTCCCAAGGCACGGGATTACAGGCTGAGCCACCGAGCCTGGGTACCCTTTCCCTTTTTATTTCTTTTTATTTTATTTTATTATTATTATTGTTTTTTATTTAGAGTCTTACTCTATCACCCAGGCTGAAGGTCATGCTCCTGGCCACCACAGCCTTGACCTGCTGGGCTCAGGTGATCTTCCACCTCAGCCTTTCAAGTAGCTGGGACTACAGGCACACGCCACCATGCTTGGCTAGTTTTTTTGACTTATTGTGGAGATGAGGTCTCACCAAGTTGCCCAGGCTGGTTTCAAACTTATAGGCTCAGGCAATCCTCTCATCTTTGCCTCCCAAAGTGCTGGGATTATAGGCCCCTTTCCCCTTTTAAAGAGGAGGTTTGCCCAAGTGATGAAAGGCAAGTTTAGGAAGCCAAGAAGTAGTACCTTTGTAGTTGATTCCATTATTTTAGTTTCTAGTGTCTCAAATCTGATTTACCACAAAGAATTTACTGCAGATGCATCAATCCTGATTCAGGTTATGTTAGTTAATTGATAGCTATTAATTATAGGTGTTGGCTTTGTAGGCACCGCTGCCTTCAGTCTTTTCCCATCAACCATGGTCAACCCACCATATTCTTCGACATTGCCGTTGATGGTGAGCCCTTGGGCCGCATCTCCTTCGAGCTGTTTGCAAAGTTCCAAAGACAGCAGAAAACTTGTGCTCTGAGCACTGGAGAGAAAGGATTCGGTGATAAGGGTTCCTGCTTTCACAGAATTATTCCAGGGTTTATGTGCCAGGGTGGTGATTTTACACGCCATAATGGTGCAGGCAGCAAGTCCATCTATGGGAAAAAATTTGATGAGAACTTCATCTTGAAGCATACAGGTCCCGACATCTTGTCCATGGCAAATGCTGGCCCCAACACAAACAGTTCCCACTTTTTCATCTGCGCTACTAAGACTGAATGGTTGGATGGATGGCAAGCATGTGGTTTTTGGCAAGGTGAAAGAGGGCATGAATGTTGTGCAAGCCATGGAAAACTTTGGGTCCAAGAATGGCAAGACCAGCAAGAAGATCACCATTGCTGACTGTGGCCAACTCTGATAAATATGACTTGCTTTATCTTAAACTACCATATCATTCCTTCTTTAGCTTAGGAGAGTATCCCCTCCATCCCATTTGCTCACAGTATCCCTATAATCTTTGTGCTTTCGCTACAGTTCTTTGGGTTCCATATTTTCCTTATTCCCTTCCATGTCTAGTTGAATTGCAGGGAAATAAAAACTAAATAACAACAACAACAACAACAGAAATTATAGGTGTTACCTAAAACCAATTGCCCTTGCCTGTCCAATAAAGAACACTTCCTTTGATTTAACCCAGACATCCTAGGAACAAAGTTACAAAGTCAGGATGAGATGGAGAGATAGAATTTTGTCTAGCTGGCCTTTTTTTCTTTTTAAAATAATAACTTTATTGAGATATAATTAATTTACTATAAAATTCAAAGTGTACAATTCAGTGGCTTTTGGTACAGTATATTCAGAGTTGTGCAACCATCACCACTATCTAATTTTAGAATATTTTTATCATTTCAAAAAGAAATCTTGTACCCATTAGCACTCATTCCTTATTCCCCGTCTCCCACCTCAGCTGCTTGCAACTACTAATGTACTTTTTGTCTCTATGGATTTGCCTATTCTGGATGTTTCATATTGATTGAATCATATAATACATGGTCTTTTGTGACTGACTTCTCTGACTTCTTTTACTTAGTGAAATGTTTTAAAGGTTTACTCATGTTGTAGCATGTTACCAGTACTTGATTCCTTTTTTTTTCCAAATAATATTCCATTGTATGATTATACAACATTTGTTTATCCATTTATTAGTTGATAGACATTTAGATTATTTTTATTTTTTGACTGTTATGGATAATGCTGCTGTGTACATTTGTGCATACGTTTTTGTGAGGACAGATGTTTTTAGTTCTCTTGGATATAAACCTGGGAATGAAATTGCTGGGCCATATACTAACTTTGTGTTTAACATTTTGAGGACCTGACGAACTGTTTTCCAAAGTAGTTGTACCATTTTATCTAGCTGAATTTTAAATCACCCAGTTTCAGTGTTCTAATTTATGTACGTTAAAGGAGAAAGAACCTTAGCTTAAGTGAGTGGTTTGAATTTATAGGGGAAAATCTACCTGCAGTAGTAGGCAAACGTGGGAGTACTTTTTTTAAAAAGTGAGTTTGGAATTATTATTATTAATACTTGGCTTTTTTAATTTTTTTTTTTTGCAGTTTTATCTCCAAGACACTAAAAGTAGTAATGGTACCTTTATAAATAGCCAGAGACTGAGTCGAGGCTCTGAAGAAAGCCCACCATGTGAAATTCTCTCTGGTGACATTATTCAGTTTGGGGTAGACGTGACGGAGAATACACGGAAAGGTACGGGTATGGATCAATTTTTCCTATTATGTATTTTTTTAAGAAGTTAATTTTTTATTGTTACTTAATGCTATGCAACATTACATGCTTTTACATGCATACAATTTAAATACAGCATTACATGCAGTGAAAAGTTAAAAGTCTCCCACTTCCCTTACTGCTCTTCTAAAATTTTAAGTTCTGAAATGTTAATTAGTAATTTATATTCTTCATCACATTATGAAGACGGGGCACTATGGTGTCAGTTAGGAAAGCAGTTGGCTGCAGTGACAGCATATCCAACCAAAACAAGTTTAAACCATAGGATCCAGGGTCTTACTGTCTTATTGTTCTGTCTTTAACATGTTGGTTTCTCATGTTTTTGTCTGTTGCCTCATGGTCAAAAGGTGATGACTGCAAACCCAGGTATCACTTTCCTTATACCAGTGTCCCAGACAAAAAGCCTGGTTTTTTGATAATGAGGTTGGGACAAAATGTGTGGCTCTCTTCTTCTGTTGAAAGAACAATCTTTTGCAGAATCCTCCCAGCAGATTTCTCCTTAGACCTCTCTGGTCATATGAGTTGTTCACATGCTTAGTTACCTGCAGCTACAAAGAAGCCTGGTGAAGTTACTTACCTTGTAAAGGGGAGCAAGGAGGTTTACTATTGGCATAGATCAATTTTGACTTACCCCCTTGGGTTGTGTGTCCATTGTTACCCCCAAACAATCGGTGTTCTGTTAACAAGAAGTAAGAGAGAAAGGCTATGAAGGTAGGCAGCTAATAGTACCTATCACAAGTAGAAAACAAAATTGCATGCCTTAAACAGTTTTTATAACTGGCGGTTCTTTAGTTAAGTAAATGTATATTGGTCTTTATTTTTATGATTCTGAAACTTCCTGCCTCTAAGAGTTTACTGTCTACTTGTGACTATGAAAATGTATAGCTGAATTAAAGTGTGGAGTTCCACTGTATTAGATTAATAGGGACAGTGCAACTATTTGTAAAGTTTCTCCTTTTGTATCTCTGAACATTCTCTGATCTGGTAATACTGGGCAGAGTCATCAGACTCTGATATTTTGCACAGTAGAGGTGTGATGGTAGTGATAACAGTTATGCTGATGCTGGTGTGTATGTGTGTTCGTGTGTACATGTGCATATTTGTATATATACTTTCACTGGTGTTGCAACAGCAGTATTATTTTTACTGGGTTTTGTTGACCTCCTGGAGAACTGGATTTCAATATTGAAGTTTGAATAGGGCCACATCTTAGGAATTTCCACTTACAATTGTAAAGCAAAAGAGGAACGTTGTATTTTGATGCAAAATATTGACTACTCCTTACTAAGAGAACTTGACTTATATATGACCACACTGGGAATAGCTGTTGCATTGGACACTCCTGTATCTACTGTTGCCATATCACACCTCTGTATCAAGTCTTCCAGCAAAAAGTAAATGAAGCCCCAGCTGTGAGTAACCCACAAAGAAGAGAATTTGGTTACACTGTCTTTCTCTCCAAGGAATGTCTGTCTTCTTGGCTTGCATTTCCCAAGGAGAATTATTAGGTGTTAATTGACCAAAGGATGAGGTAATCAAATACATTTTGGAAATACTTAGTTAACCTAAGGTAGGTAGGACTCCTTGGAGCCTTTAATATGCTAACGTGTATGCAGATTTCCAAGAGGATGTCCATTATAGAATACATCTGTTTCCAAACTCCTTCCCACTCTTCTTTCCCATCTATCTAGGAGGGACACTCTTTAGAAGATACTGTAGAAAAATAAAAAGATAATCATAAGATTCAGGGTTATTACTAGTATAGTAATATTTCATCAATATTACATTTTTGCAGTCTTCTTTGAAAATTTATCCTTTAAGCCAACCTTTTTTCTTTATGATTAAATAAAGAAAAAAATCAATTAAGTACAAGAAAAAAATCAATTAAGTAAAGAAAAATAATCCCTCATCATTTATTAATTTGTTTATTTATTTGAGTTGAGGTCTCATTCTGTTGCCCAGGCTGGAGTGCAGTGGCGTGATCATGGTTCACTGCATCCTTGAACTCCTGGGCTCAGATGATCATTATGCCTCAGTCTCTCAAGTAGCTGGGACTACAGATGTGCATCACCACGCTGAGCTGATTTTTAAAAAATTTTTTGTAGAGTTGAAGTCTCATGATGCTGCCTAGTCTGGTCTCAAACTCCTGGACTCAGGCTATTCTCCTGCCTTGGCTTCCCAAAATGCTGGGATTACAGGCATGAGCCACTGTGTCCTGCACTCATCATTTAAGATGTTGTTTCTCTTGGTACTTACTGGCATCAGAAAGTTACCTTATGTTATACATGGGCTCTTGGGATATACTGTGTCATCACTTAAGAACTATTTGTTAAAGCCATTGCCAAGAAAAAAGTATAGAGTTTTGTCTTATGCTAAGTAGTACTGTGATAAGCTTTTATATCACTTGGAGAATTCTTCTGAAATTATACAATACTACTGGGTAACCCCTGGATCAAAGAAGAAATCAAAAGGGAAATTTCAGACTTTATAGGAAGGAAAGAAGACTTTTATACCAAAATACAGTAAGCCCTTTAGTCAGATAAAATTAATAATCTTAAATTTCTTCTGTATTAAAGAAGAAAGACAAAAAAAAAATGAAGGAATTTAGCATTAATCAGAAGAAATTAACTGAAGAAATCAAGAAAAAGAAGTGGGGAAGAAAAAAAATCAAAAGCAGAAATTAATGAAACAACAAAAAAATTCTAGAAGGGATAAGCAAATGCAAATGCTGGTTCTTTTAAAAAGAAAACATACAATAAATGAGGTAATTCACAAACTTTGATGCATTAAATTAAATGTACTAGCAAAAATATATAAGATGAGGAATGAGAAAGGAGAAATAAACAAAATACAGGCTATGCTAAAAGAAATTTTTTAAAAAAGTTTCCTAGCAAAATTATCCCAAGAAGTAGAAAAACTTGAATAATTTATTTTCTTAAAGAGACTAAAATATTATTAAAGATTCACCATGGAGGCCAGGTGTGGTGGCTCATACCTGTAATCCCAGCACTTTGGGATAACTTCAAGCATAGATACAGATGGAATGCTCTTCAAATCCTTTAAAGAAGTCAGCAGTTCTGGCCAGGCATCGTGGCTCATACCTTGTAATCCCAGCATTTGGAAGGGCAAAGCAGGAGGATCACTTGAGGCCAGGAGAAGAGGAGCCAGATTAAAGGTGGCAAGAGGACTAATAGAAAGAAGTACAATTTTTATTTTATTTTTATTTTTATTTTTTTGAGTAGGAGTCTCACTCTGTCGCCCAGACTGGAGTGCAGTGGCCGCTCCCGGCCACCGCAGCCTCTACCTGCTGGGCTCCGGCGATCCTTCCGCCTCAGCCTTTCGAGTAGCTGGAATTACAGGCGTGCACTACCACGCCCGGCTGATTTTTTGATTTATTGTAGAGATGAGGTCTCGCCAAGTTGCCCAGGCGGGTCCCGAACCTGCAGGCTCCGGCAATCCACTCACCTCAGCCTTCCAAAGTGCTGGGATTACAGACTGAGCCACCGAGCCTGGCTAGAAGTACAATTTTTAAAATCCTCCAGTGTGTATGACATCTGTGTATTTAGATAAGATGTGTATATGTAAAAGGAAATTTCAGAAAAAGAATATATATGATACGTAAAACTGTGTGTGTATATGTGTGTGTGTGTGTGTGTGTGTGTGTGTGTGTGTATGTATATACTGGAGGTACCCCAAAAATGTATACACATTTTAAGAGATGTTATCTATGTATTACTTTTAGAAGTTGAATTGAATTATGGTAGAATTGTGTTGTATGACATTCACTCAAAAGATGTCATTAAGGACAAAGACAATGGCGAAAGCATGGTTGTTGTTCAAGGTGCGCAAGACCATTTTGAAGTGGTATCTGAAATTCAAGAACATTGTAGAAGTACAATGACAATGGAGGTGTGAGTATGTAACAGAATCTCCAACATGCCCAACAATTGCACGCATTTGTGATAAGTTTGAGCCGCATGTTACTGTGTGATGTGCACAAGGGAAGATCTAGGAGGCCTCACATAGCAACAAGCCCTGCTGCTTCTGCTATAGTGTCGGAACAGTTTACATGCTCACCACAGTGTACCCAACAATGTGCACATGAGACAGGAATTAGCAGAACAGGCGTATGATGTATTCTTAAGACAGCAAAATGGAAAGTTTTCATTCCAATTCTAAAAATGTGTATATATTTTTTGTACTGTGTATGTATGCCTATGTGTGTGTATTTTTGTTTGTTTATTAAAAAGGTAATATGAGCCTGATGCTACTGAACATATCAATGAATATTAGTGTTCCTTCTATTCTAAGCTCTCCAAAACAATCTGGTTTTGATGTTTGGCTTTCCATGTGGTATGATTCCAGGGAGAAAACTTACTGGCCGGGCATGAATAAATAATTTATTCTATAGATATAAAATATCATTGTAAACAAATAGCTAACTTTATAATAGATTTTTTAAAAGAAAGGAAGGAAGATATGAAAAAGCCAAGTCTTAGTAACCCAACCACTGGCTACTCCTCTTTTCCCAAACCCACAAACTGCTCAAATAATAAGTTTTCTGGGTCATACAACATTACAGTAACCCTCTGCTGCAAAGCTTGAGACCAGTTTGTTCTATAGACATACATAACTTAAATCAGCTCATTACTTCAGGTCTTCACTAATATCTGTTCCTTAGCCTCTATGAACAAAGGGCCTATTAAGAGCATGGCCAATGCTGTATCTTCTTTTGACGTTGGGATCCAACTGCGCTGAATTACTTTTACTCCATAATAGAGTTGGCCTTCAAGCCCTTGCACATGCTTTTTTCTGTGCCTGGAAATCTTTCCTGATCCTGCAAGGCTGGACAAGGTGCCACCTCCATGTCCCTGTCACATGTTGCACCCATCCCGTTTATGTGTTTGTCTCACTCACTAAACTGTAGTTTGTACAAGAGCAAGAGATGTGTCTGCCTTTAT